TTCTCCTGTATTCTGCTTTTGCCTCCTTTATGCTTCTTTTTAGGTTGGATCTTGCAACTCTGTATAAGTCTGTGTTTCCAGTCCTAAAGGCTGAATCACGGTCCCTCAGTAGCTGCTTGACATCCCCGGTCGTCCACGGTTTGCTGTTTTGATAGCATCCGATCTGTCTCTCAACAGTGACCTTATCAATACAGTTCTGAATGTAAAACAAAACAGTGGATGTAAAGTCTGCTAGGTCCTGCTATGCAAACAGGTTCCAGCTGGTGCGCTCGAAGCAGTCCTGCAGTTGTGAGATTGCATCCTCAGGCCAGATCTTTATGCTCATCATTCTAGGCATGCTTTTCTTAATAAGAGGTCTGTATGCTGGAGTGAGGAAGAGGGACAGATGGTCAGACTAGCCTAGATGTTACTGTATACGTGGTCCAGCGTGTTTTGATCTCTCATTGAACATGTAACATGCTGATAAACCAGAATTTACTTCTATACAGGTAGGAAAGGAAACCTATAAAAATGTGATGTAAGGGATACAAAGTTCGGAGCAGATATATGCAGTTGTTTGTGCAACGTCAGGCTAAGGCAGTGGGGGTTGTGCAAATAAGTCCAAGCTCTAGTCCTATGTGTTGTCCTGGTTGAGGGCCCAATTGGCCTGTGGGGGAAAAAGCTCCTCCTCATTCTCTCTTGGCCTTGAGGGAGCAGAAGCCCTTCCCTGACTGCAACAGAGAAAAGAGTTCATTGTTCGGATGGCCGAGGTCTTTCACTTTGTTCCTGGCCTGGGTCCAGCACTTCTTGCTGTTGATAGGCTTCAAGTCAGGGAGGTCAGTGAGGATGGCGTGCTCAACTGACCACCCTCTGGAGAGCTCGCCTGTCCTGTTTGGTGCTGTTCCTAAACCAGGGTGTGATGCTTCCTGTCAGGATTCTCTCGATGGTGCAGGTCTAAAAGTTCCTTAGCACCTTAAAGGGCAGTTTAAAGTCCCTTAAGCATCTAAAGAGGTAAAGATGCTGACGGGTCTTCTTCACTAGGGTGTTAATGTGCCAGGACCACGACAGGCCTGTGTGATGTGAACACCAAGTTATCGGAAACTGTCCACTCTCTCCACTGGGGCCCCATCGAACTTAAGGGGGTGGTCCTCTCCTGCTTTGTGCAGAAGTCCACTATCAACTCCTTGTCTTTATCTTGGCACCAGTTCTCCAGGCTTTTAATCTCCTCTAGGTAGGCCTTCTCATCATTGTCAGAGATCAGGTAAACCACAGCAGTGTCGTCAGCAAACTTGACAATGGTGGTAGAATTGGAAGTGGCCAGACAGTGGAAGATTCACTGAAACAGGGAAGGGCTAAGTCCCAGGTCCTCTAACTTGGTGGTAAGTTTGGAGGGAATTATAGTGTTAAATGCTGAACTGTACTCAACAAACAGCATTTTAACAATTTCCCTTCCTGATGTCCAGATGGCTCAGGATTGTATGTATGAGGTGCGTGATGCTGTCCTCAACAGAACAATTGGGACGGTATGTGAATTGTAATGGGTCCAGAGTGTCAGGTTGTTGAGGTAGGCCGGCTGGGGTTTCTTTGGGACAGGAATAATAATGGACTGTTTGAAGCATGTGGGGATTACCGACTGTGCCAGGGAGAGTTTGAATATCTCTGAACACCGGTGCTAGCTGGTCAGCACAGGCTCTAATGACCCGACCCACTTGCACCGTTGGCGCTGTTAGCTGCAGCCTCGAAGCGAGCATAAAAATAGTGTTCAGCTCAGCTGCCAGAGAAGTGGCCGCATTCACCATAGTCTGTTATTGGATCTATGACCCAAGTTTCTTCACATAGCATCGCTCTGCCTCTTTCACTGCTCTGTGCACATTGAAGAACGCAGCCTTGTACTCGTCCATGTTCCCGTTAACAAGCCCTGCGTTATAGGCAGCTGTGTGAGATCTCAGCTTCTGGTTGGGAAACATTCTGATGATGGTTTTGTGGACTTTATCATCTGCCTGTTTCTCAATAAATCCCACAACTGCTTCCATAAAGCATGAATAACAAAGCAGTTATATCCTTTGTCACCAGTTTCCCCAAGAACTTTCTGATTTTATTAATAATATAATATATAATATACACATATGGAACTGGACTCTCACACACAGACTGCAATTGCACAAAATATATTTAAAAACATGTATATTTAGCACACTTAGCTTTGCAAAACAACCCCTTTATCTCAAACATGTTATTTGAAGCGTGGAAGAGAATGTATAACGAATTCAGTTGTTGTATTGTTCATCTCAGAGAAGTATCTACAAAAATATGCGACCAGCCCGGTAAGGTGTTCCTTAATGAAACATTTGATACGATCAGCAAGGCTGAACTTGTTTGCCGACAGAAGACCTTGTACCTGGAATATAGTTTTGGAAAAGGCCTTGTAATCTGAGGTTCAAATCATTGCTTGCTCATCATCGTGCAAGCGGTGACCCAGTTCAAACGGATGGTCAATTAAAACTCCACTGCGCTGTCCCTGTCATGGCTTTGCTCCATTTGTACATATGCCCACACATTTTGTGATATGACAAAGCTGTCCAAGATTGTAAAACTGTCTTCCCCATTATCCTGGCTTCCAGTAGTTTGTAGAAACCACTTCCATAATCTTCCATAATTGACCCTTCATGAATCTACGGAATATATACAGTCATGGGGAAAAAGAAAGTACACCCTACTTCCGTCCTGTGTTTTTATTTATCAGGGTGTAAATGACAGTTGTGTTATTGTGTTACAACTCATGTGACAATAAAAATAACACAGATTTCAATATGCAGTCATTTTTTCCCCCCAAAAAGTAAACCAATATTCAGAAACCAGGTGAGTAAAAATATGTACCCTCTAATTCAGTAAAATGTAGAACCACCTTTAGCAACAAGAGCTTAGTTTATTTCAGTTAGAAGTAAATGTTTTCTGTAGGGGTTTATCAGTCTCACATTGTTTTGGCCCACTCTTCTTTACAACATTGCTTCAGTTCATTTATATCTGGGCTTGCACTCCCAGTGTCAGTCCCAAGCCTGGGTAAAATTGGAGATGGTTGTGTCAGGAAGGGCACCTGGCGTAAAAACTTTCAAAAATCTCTTGAGGTTTATTTTTCAAATTAGCATGCTTTGCTTTCAGAGCCCTGTGCAAAAAGGCTGGTTTTAATATCACTGTTTAAAACTAATGGTGCTTGAATTCCTGCTCCATCCTTTTTACTATACTGTCATTCTCTGCATTCATTCTCGCTGTTGTAAAGACACTCAGTGACATCTTATCTCAATTCTCACTACTGAGGAGAAGAAGTGTGAGTTATTTCCTGTTTGCCCTGCCATTCTGTCAAAGTATAATGATTTCTTTATGTGGGAAGTATTTCACCATAAGTCTATCACCAGACATTTGCACCTTAATGAAGTACACTGAAATTTAATGGCACATAAAAGTGTAAGATTGAGGTTATAGTATATAGTAGTATAAAGTATAGTTAAGGTCATAGGTTTTTTTTTTATTTTTTATATGAGGCAGTGTAATGAGCACTTGTGATGTCTTCGGTCAAATTGAAATTATTGGGAACGTATGTCACAAAATATTTACTGTTAATGTAATGTTAGGGTTAGGGTTAGATAGCCCTTGCTTCAAGTAAATGTAGCATGGGAAAGACGGTGCCCTGCATCTCAATCATGGATGTAGTATTTCCTATTTGTCAGATCATCATTCTGTGCTTTTAAAGTTTTAATCAATGATCATTTTATAAAATGTACAGTACATGTCTGTAGCACAACTGCAGTCTTTCTGGTTTGGAATATCACATTAAATAGATTGTGGTCTTGTGCCTTCTAGACCCCCCCCCACACACACACATATATTAAACATCTTTCTGTGTATTCCCTCGAGCTTCATACACATGTATATTTGTATGAAATATATATGTATATTTAGCACATTTAGCTTTGCAGAATAACCCCTTTATAACAACAAACATGTTATTTGAGGCGTGGAAGAGATTGGATAACGAATTCAGTTGTTTGTATTGTTCGTCTCAGAAGTATCTACAAAAATATGCGACCAGCCCGGTAAGGTGTTCCTTAATGAAACATTTGATACTATCAGCAAGGCTGAACTTGTTTGCTGACAGAAGATATTGTAGAGGCAAAAAAAAAAAAATCCTCTTCATGTTTTTGTTAATGCAGTTAGAACAGAGAGTGAACTCTTCCTTCATTGCCTCAATTTTGTCTTGCACCTGGAATATAGTTTTGGAAAAGGCCTTGTAATCTGAGGTTCAAATCATTCAGAAGAGAAAAAACATTATCCAGATAAACCAGTCGTGTGAGCCACTCATCATCGTGCAAGCGGTGACCCAGTTCAAACGGATGGTCAATTAAAACTCCACTGCGCTGTCCCTGTCATGGCTTTTGCTCCATTTGTACATATGCCCACACATTTTGTGATATGACAAAGCTGTCCAAGATTGTAAAACTGTCTTCCCCATTATCCTGGCTTCCAGTAGTTTGTAGAAACCACTTCCATAATCTTCCATAATTGACCCTTCATGAATCTACGGAATATATACAGTCATGGGGAAAAAGAAAGTACACCCTACTTCAGTCCTGTGTTTTTATTTATCAGGGTGTAAATGACAGTTGTGTTATTATGTGACAATAAAAAAAACCACAGATTTCAATATGTAGTCATTTTTTTCCCCAAAAACATTCAGAAACCAGGTGAGTAAAAATATGTACCCTCTAATTCAGTAACATGTAGAACCAGCTTTAGCAACGAGAACTTAGTTTACTGCAGTTAGAAGTAAATGTTTTCATCAGTCTCACATTGTTTTGGAGAAATTTTGGCCCACTCTTCTTTACAACATTGCTTCAGTTCATTGATATCTGAGGGCATTCGTTTATGCACAGCTCTCGTAAGATCCCACCACAGAATGTCAGTGGGGTTGACAGCTGGACCTCTGATGCAGTTTTAAGGCACTTAGTTTTCTGAAGTTGTCTGGGGCCCTGGAGGACTAGTGGTTAGGCCTCAGTGCTATCACCGCCATGGCCAGGGTTTGATTCCTGGCCAGGGAACCCTCCCCAGCCACTGGGGTTGCACTCCCAGTGTCAGTCCCAAGCCTGGGTAAAATTGGAGATGGTTGTGTCAGGAAGGGCACCTGGTGTAAAAACTTTCAAAAATCTCTTGAGGTTTATTTTTCAAATTAGCATGCTTTGCTTTCAGATCCCTGTGCAAAAAGGCTGGTTTTAATATCACTGTTTAAAACTAATGGTACTTGAATTTCTTTCCCTCTGGGTTGCACTGTGCTTCAGCACGTCTTGATGAGAAACAGGCCTTTTTCGTTTTCGGAATCTGGAGACGAATCTTGTCCAAAACTGTGGACTGATGGTTTCAGCGTTCCTGGGGTGACTAAACAGCACAAGTATCAAGGCTTCTACAATATGATTAACTCAAACTTCTTTAGGTTTTTAAAAAACACATGCAGCATTGTTTGTCTTCACTCATCCACTGTTATATACTCTAATCATTTATAATGCCACTACGGGTTCCCATTTGAATCTGGTTCCTCTTAAGGTTTGTTGCTCATGTTGTCACAGGGAGTTTTTCTTCACCACTGTCACCTCTGGCTTGCTTTTTTAGGAATCTAGCATTAAATACAGATTTCTGTTACGCTGCTTCATGTGGCATAGATTGTTAAAAGCGCCATATAAATGAAATGAAATTGAGTTGAAATCTATTGACTAATGCCTTAATCCTCATCAACATTCTTAATTCAGGACTGTTCAAAGCCTGCACAAGCATGTGCTTGTCTTTAAGGCACACTTTCATATTTCCCATTATGCCCTGATCTTTTTATGCCCAGTCTGGTCCTGTCTTGCCTTTTTGATGTGTATTATGATGTGTATTAGTGAAAATGCTTGTGTTCAACCTTCTATCTAATTATGCACCTCCTTGTTTCTAATATCTTTAATTTGCTGTTTTCTAGTTTACTTCTCTGTTTAGTTTGTTTACTTCTGATGGGCCAGTTACTCTTAACTTCAGTTTATTCAAGACTCAACTGTATTCTGCTTTTATTTTTGGTTTTCGCTATTGTAAATACATTTTCTTTCTCTAGTGTCTATTCATGTTTTTAATACCACTTTATAAGCTAATGGTGCTTGAATTCCTTTCCTACTGGTTTGTACTGTGCTTCAGCATGGCATGATGAGGAACAGGCCTTTTTTTGTTTTGAGAATCTGGTGCCAAATCCAAAATATGTACTATTCATTTCATCTTGCCTGGAGTGACTGTGTTAGTTGAATCTGACTTGTTACATAAGACATGGGCAGTACAGGATGTAATCTGATCTTAGAGGAGGGCTGTCCATTTCCTGTTTCTCTATGTAGTTTCTGTACAGTGCAGTTAAGATCTAAAAATCTTGTGTGCTCAAAATTTGAATTTAAAGATGGTGTGTCTCCATGGATTTGCATCAAACAGACAAATTCCATTATGAACTGATCTGGTCTGATTAAATAGTGCACTAAACACTGCAAACCTTAACATCACATGTGAAATTATGTCAGTTTACATGTCAGTGACAATAAGACACTGAACATGTTGTTTCGACATAATATAACAAGTATAATCTCATATTGTCATATTTTTGTTCAGTCAATCTGTATTGCAATTTGATTGAATTTGGCTCTCAATCAATCAAACTGCAATATTTCCGCAGAATCTGATTTTGGTTAAGAGATACACCATATGGCTAAGTTCGTGGACACCTGACCACCATACCCATATGTGGTTCTTCTCCAAACTCTGGCCAAAAAGTTGGAATCACACAATTGTATAGAATGTCTTTGCATTCTGTATGTCGTATGCTGTCACCTAAACATGATCAGATGTGCTGTTTATAGGAAAACATTCAAGGATGTGTGGTGTAATCACCCGGATACAAAGCAGAGTTCCTGTTACCACTTGGAAGTTAACTATTTTCCTGTAACAGAAAGCCCCGAGGTCTTTGCTAACGATTACAATCTTTTTTTTTTTTTTTAACGAAGAGCACCTCATACCTTTTTATTCATTTATATTGTGGCATGTCCACAATGTTTTCATTTGTCGTAGCAGCTATAAACAATTCCCTCACCACCTTACAGCCAGCACTACTGTCAGAGCTGCAGTTATAAAAAAAAAAAATGAATTAAACACTTTCTGACCATGTTTGAGAATACAACAGTACTGTGGTATAATTTCATTAATTCAGCTGTTTTCAAATGATACATTTTATTAAAAATGCTTCCCTTATTTTAAAGTAAACATTAAGCATCACTTAAATATAATAATAATAAAGCCTTTTAATTGATGAGCATCTGTCAGGCCCATTTTTATTGTAAAGGCAAACAATATTCAACATTCAGCAAGTTTAGTATCTCTTTCCTTTATAAACCTTGAACAGCACCGCACTGCTTGCAGATGATAAGCTTGGCAGGTGTCTGTAAGGTCAAGGCTTCTTCTTATTTATCTCAACTGAACACACCACCACCACCTATTTGGACCAAGCACCAGAAACCTCAGAAGAAGGAAAAATACTGGCTGTCTCTTTGCAGCAGTTTAAAATGTTGCAGAGTAAATATTTACAAGGCCAGTCCATGGTGGGTGTTGGGTATTTACAGAATAAAACAGATTCCTGAGCAGAACTGAGGCAAGGTAATGTGAACATTTTAATCCACTTTTGAGAGAAATTGCTTAAATCAGTTGAAGTGATGCTAATATTCTTGCACATTACCATCTTAACAATAAGTGCTCGATACCCCAGTCCTGTTTTGTTTAGTAACATCTTAGTGAAGTATATCGTAGTGACCTACTACTGGTCCCTAATCAAGGTTTTGTCTCCTTGCTTTTGCTGCTCGAGCTCAGTGTGACTTTTGACACCATCATCTTCATAATAGAAAGTGTTGGAGTTAAGGGAACAGGTCTTACTTGTCTTATAAACGTGACTTCTCTATAAATACACAATTCAAGTTTGGTATTCCAAGGCCACTGTTCTAGGGCCACTGCTTCTTCCCTCTATATACACTGTATGCTACCTCTGGGTACAATTACTCATGCACACGCAGGCTTGGAGTGTAATGGAATACATGTAATGGCGTTATGTAATCAAGATACAAAAAACTGGTAACTGTAATCCATTTCAGTTATATCAAAAAGAAGTAATCACATTACAGGTACATTTTGTAAAAAATGGGATTACTATGGAGGAATGACTGTTTATCACGATGATGTCTGCTGGAAACAGACATCATCGTGTGTAACAGTGGGAATCGTGGGAACAGTAGGAATTTGAAATGATTTTGTCTATGAAGGAGAAAATGGAAACGATAACATCACAGTATAGTGCAAACTACACCTTCCAGCTATGAAGATTCTGTCTGTATGGAAGGACTCGACATCTAATTTAAAGAAGCATTTAAGCACAGAAATCATTTTAGCCAGTTTAGGTAAAAATGATTTAGTGTGAGTTAGTGCTTTTGAAATTCCCTGGTTTGCATGATCACAGTTGTGGGTAAGGTTGCCGGCTGTGCAGAATTAGCCAGGAAAGTCCTGTGTATTTTGGTCGAAATTAATACGGCTCTCCCCACAATCACCCCACTTTTGCTGAATCAAAGTTTTAAACAAATAATGTGCTTAGTAAGGACATACTGTATAACGAGGCATCTGAGATCATGCTGCAAAATGAAAATGATGAAATCTTCAAATTTTCGATCGGTCACTTCCCTTTGCTGATACTGCATGTGCTCCACTGTCACTTCTCATTTCCATCATACCTTCAGCTGAAACTCTAAAATTGTTCTTTGAAATGCTTTTGTGACTGACCAAAAATTCACAGCAATAGCTGAACAGACTTCCAGAAAATCAGAATTCCTCAGAATGAAACTAAACCTTCACTATGGGAAACAACAGAGAAGAACTGAAAGAATAATAATTGAAAACACACATGCAGGCACATGTACGAGAGCGAGAGCAAGAGAGAGCGCGCGAGCGAGCGAGAGAGCGCGAGACATTAAAATAAACAGCTCAACAAAGTAAACTAGGATGTTACCTGTCCCTAAACAGAGAATATAAATTGGCAGAATACCCGAGCACAGTAACTGACCATGTATAGACTCGGTGATCACAACTTCGCCATAGAGACGAGCAAACACAGACAGACCTGGCTACCAAGAGAAGACAGGCTGTGCCCCTAATGCAGACAAAATGAAATGGAAACAGAACTGCACTTTTTAACAACATGCCCTAATTATACACGGATTAGGGAAACACACACACACACACACACACACCCCCCACTTCACAACCCAAAAGAGAAAAGGACTTCAATCTGATGCCAAACAAGAACAAACTCCCATAACTGCTAGGAGAAACCTCTGCAAGCTCAAACCTGACTGTCAGCTTTGTGAAATCCTGTCACAACAAAAGATAAAGCAGTGGAACAGGACCACCAGCCACACAGTAACACCAACACTGCAAACATGCACAACGTGCTCAGTAACGTTTGGGTAATAAAACAAATCATTGTATTTCCCACCCCCCTTCTTATTGCTATTATTTTATCAAACTTTTTTTTTTTTTGGCAAAATGTGTGTAAATGTGTATATCTGTAATTTAATGTTACCAAATGCTTTGGCAATGTAAAGCCTTTTACCATGCCAATAAAACTACTTGAATCTTGAGAGACTCTGTGTGTGGCAATACTAAACAAACACACAGACACATTGTCAGAGAGAGAGAGAGAGAGATAGAGAGAGAGAGAGAGAGAAAACTAAACAGAACAGAACCCTGTATTCATATTCAGTCCACTTTCCAAGATTATCTTTGTCATCCTCTCTTTGTGAGGACATGCCTATACCTACATCGAACTAAATATTTTTTACCTTTGGCTTAAAGCCATTTTTGACTTTCAAAATGAAGTGTTTCCAGCCATTGTTGTCAAACATCTATATTTAACAATGGGAAATATGAAATGTACCTAAAATTTAGATAAAGAATAAAATGTAAAAAGCCTAAATTGTGTCTTATCTAATACTGTACTTTA